TAATAACAACTATTCCAAATTTGACAAATTATACATCATTTTTTTTCAATTCAAAATTACTCAATTTAAATTAATATAATTCAAAATTACTCCATTTAAATTAATATCATTTAATTTTTATCAATTTTATAAAATATCAATTTCCCTAACATTTCTAACTTAACAAATTGACAAAATATTATTGATACTTATTAATTAACTCATCATTTTTTCATATATAACACACCCAAAGTTACAAAATCAAGTTCAATGTTATCAAATTACAAAAAAATTCAATTTTTTTTTTCAAATCACAATCAAATCCTAATATACAAATCATATTTTAATTTTTTATAAAAATATTGCAAAACACTTAAATATACTAGAAAACTACAAATATCACACAAAAATATCAATAAATTAACCTAGAATATAAGGTATGTTTGCTTACTTGGTGTAAGCAATATTTAAAAAAAAAAGTAAATAATGATAAAAAATGTTAAAGTGATCAAATTTGTGATGACCTAGAGTTCTATTTTACAATTTTCAAGTAATGTTTTTTGTTCGAGTAAACTTGACTTGCGAGATTCAGTGGTGGGTTCTGCATTTCAGATGATGCATGCAGTGATTATTTTTATGACATTTATTGGGTAACAATCAAAGGAATTTCCCCAAATTTATGTGCCTTCGTCTATGGAGACCTATGTTATACAGAGTAGGGAGGACGAAGTGCTAACAAGCACCATCATTTTGTGACTAAGGTCAATGGGCCTTGTACCTGGCAAGTCTTGTTTTGGTGTTCAAGATCACTCATGGATCTTTGCCCATAATAAAGAATAATAGAAAAGGGTCCAAGTCGACAGGTATCATGTGCCCTTGAACTAAAGTCAAAGTCTGTGCCAATATTAAATCTGTTTTCATATCTTAGTGGCCTGAACCATAACAGAATTAACAGACCATCATCTGTCCCGCCAAAAAAAGGTTGGAAAAAAAATGGAAGAGCAGCCCATGATTCTTTAGCAGCTGATTTTTCTCTCTACAACACTCAGAGTTCTACTACAAAAATGGCTTCAGCCCTCATTCACTGCTCTCTCTACAACGCCTACAAAAAGGCCTCTCCAGAGCAAAACAAACCACCAAAAACAACACAATTCAAGCGAAAAACCACAAGAAAATCACCCTTTATCAAGAGAGCCCAATCAAAGACTTCATTGAGACTTCTGGTGCGTCCCAACGATCTCAATATCACAAGGGATCTCTGTGGCTTTGTAGAATCTGGCTTAATGGGCAATGCACTCGATATGTTTGAGAAAATGAACCACTCGGATACTTTTATATGGAATGTTATTATTAGAGGGTATACTAATAATGGGTTGTTTCAAGAAGCTATTGATTTTTATAATAGGATGGAATGTGAAGGGATTAGAAGTGATAATTTTACTTTTCCATTTGTGATCAAAGCTTGTGGTGAGTTGTTGGCCTTGATTGTAGGGCAAAAGGTTCATGGGAAGTTGATTAAAATTGGTTTGGATTTAGATGTTTATGTTTGTAATTTCCTTATTGACATGTATTTAAAGATTGGATTTATTAAGCTTGCGGAGAAGGTGTTTGATGAAATGCCTGTGAGGGACCTGGTTTCTTGGAATTCTATGGTTAGCGGCTATCAAATAGATGGTGATGGATTGAACTCGTTGATGTGTTTTAAAGAAATGCTGTGGTTAGGAAATAAGGCTGATAGGTTTGGTATGATTAGTGCTTTGGGTGCTTGTTCTATTGAGCATTGTTTACGAAGTGGAATGGAAATTCATTGCCAAGTGATTAGAAGTGAGCTTGAATTGGACATTATGGTACAGACTTCTCTTATTGATATGTATGGTAAGTGTGGTAAGGTGGATTATGCTGAGAGGGTATTTAACAGGATTTATTCCAAAAATATTGTGGCTTGGAATGCTATGATCGGTGGGTATGCTTTAAATAATTATTTTTTTGAGTCTTTTGCTTGCCTGAAAAGGATGCAAGAGGATGATAAAGTGATTCCAGATGCTATTACGATGATAAACCTGCTCCCTTCTTGTTCACAATCAGGAGCTCTCGTGGAAGGTAAATCTATCCATGGGTTTGCCATTAGAAAAATGTTTCTTCCTTATTTAGTCTTGGAAACTGCTTTAGTTGATATGTATGGAAAATGCGGCGAGTTGAAACTGGCAGAGCATGTGTTTAATCAAATGAATGAAAAGAACATGGTATCATGGAACACCATGGTTGCTGCTTATGTACAGAATGAGCAGTACAAAGAGGCTTTGAAAATGTTTCAACACATTTTGAATGAGCCTCTTAAACCAGACGCTATTACTATGGCAAGCGTCCTGCCTGCCGTTGCTGAATTAGCCTCAAGGAGTGAGGGTAAGCAGATTCATGCTTATATCATGAAATTAGGGCTTGGTTCAAATACTTCCATTTCAAATGCAATTGTTTACATGTATGCAAAATGTGGTGATCTCCAGACAGCAAGAGAATTTTTTGATGGTATGGTATGTAAGGATGTAGTTTCATGGAACACAGTGATCATGGCTTATGCTATTCATGGGTTCGGAAGAACTTCCATCCAGTTTTTCTCTGAAATGAGGGGAAAGGGTTTCAAACCCAATGGGAGCACTTTTGTTTCTCTGTTAACAGCCTGCAGCATTTCTGGCCTGATTGACGAAGGCTGGGGTTTCTTTAATTCAATGAAAGTGGAATATGGCATTGATCCAGGAATAGAGCATTATGGTTGTATGCTAGATCTCCTTGGTCGCAAGGGAAATCTTGATGAAGCAAAGTGTTTCATTGAAGAAATGCCTTTGGTCCCTACAGCCAGGATATGGGGTTCCTTACTAGCTGCAAGTAGGAACCACAACGATGTAGTCTTAGCTGAACTAGCAGCTAGGCATATATTATCTCTTAAGCACGACAATACGGGTTGCTATGTACTACTCTCTAATATGTATGCTGAAGCTGGAAGATGGGAAGATGTAGATCGGATTAAATATCTTATGAAGGAACAAGGACTGGTGAAGACAGTTGGGTGTAGCATGATTGATATCAATGGTAGAAGTGAGAGTTTCATCAATCAAGACAGGTCCCATGCCCATACAAACTTGATTTATGATGTGTTGGATATTCTACTGAAGAAGATAGGGGAAGACATCTATCTTCATTCCATCACCAAGTTCAGACCACTAGAAGTGGTCAAGAAACGAGGGAACTTGCCAGAATATCACAGCGTCAAACTAGCTATCTGCTTCGGCTTGATCTCTACAGCAATCGGAAACCCTGTTATTGTCAGGAAAAACACTAGAATATGTGAAGATTGCCATAGAGCTGCAAAGAAGATTTCACAGGTTACCAAAAGAGAGATTGTAGTCGGGGATACCAAAGTATTTCACCACTTCCGGGATGGATGTTGTTCGTGTAGAGATTATTGGTGAGGCAGCTGTTACTGTAAAAACGAAATGATGAATTAAAGCACCCCCTAGATTTGCTGTACAGTCCTAATGAAGCATGTGTAGATGTCAACACTATGTATCGCTTACGGTTGTAAATTTCACAGGATCAAAGGAAATAATTAATGATTTCTTCCTACTCTGAATTCTTTTATCATTTTGAATTGTGAATTGGGATTGATCGCAAAAAAACCCAAGCATTCCATAGCAAAAATACGCAAGGGAAATACGTCAGTGATGATGACAAAATTCATATCCATTTTCACTTGGAACTTGATGAAACTACTAGCATTGCCACCCAGGCATTCATATTCGTATTATGTGCGTAGGCATCCTTCTTTCTCAATATTAATTTTGAGTGTTCAAATACATGAAACTAGCTCGTTAAATCAGAGGCAAAAATATCAGCTCAGATTTCAACGACGACCTAACAAGAAGCCATGAATCAGCAAATGTTGGGAATCTTCAGTCAAATTTGATGACGAAAGAGTACATAACCCGAGGTGTGAAGCTGCCAACCAAGCTCTGTCCAAAGAACTGAAATAATTGAATTGAATTAATCTACTCTATTAATTACATGCAACATTAAGTTAATGGATTAAGCCAAAATAAAAAATCAACTCTTAACGATGAAGAACGCAAAAGGTGGATTCGTGACCAGCGTGATTAAGGATGTAATAATGGTTATTTTTAAAAAATATATTAAAATAATTATTTTTTATTTTTAAAAATTATTTTTTACATTAATATATAAAACGGTATAAATTTTTTTTAATAAAACACAATTTAAAATGCAATTCCAAACGACTGGAGACAAATTTTACACGGTCAGCAGGCTCGTGTAGCCAAGAGAAAGTGGATTGCTTGATTTTGCTGTATCTAAACAGCTAGAACATGTGATAACACCAACCTTTGCCTACCAGAAATTCCAAGATAAGTTATAGTGACGAATAGAACAGCCTCTTGATCACAGCTTGATTCCCGCTAATTAAACACCATAGCTGATAGTTAATTCATCTTGATTATGCATTGTGTAATTAGAGTCTCCTTTTTTTCTCACTTATGACTAGTTTTTTAGACGAAGAACAGATGAAGCTACTACACATGACAGGAGAGGATCAAAAGAAAAACAACATTAAAAATAAAATAAAAGTGCTAATCTCAAAATATTGTCTGAAATAAATTATTAGTGAACAATTGGGAAGATAGGAGAGATCAACTTGGCAACAACCACTAATTGATAGCGAACGCAATTAATTTTATAGCCTTGAAATTAAAAAGAAAGTTGACCGAAAGAAGAGCCATAAATTAAAAGAAAATAAGAACAAGAACAAATTGCTCTCATTGCTCTCCATGAATTAAATATCCAAAAGCACTGAATATTTCTTCCTTTTTTACTATAGTATCGCTCTTTTCCTGGACACTAGAGAAGGGAAAAACCAAAAATAATAATTAAAAAGAAGAGAGAGAGAGAGAGAATCGGTATATTTACAAATTGTGCCACTATCCACCCGTCAAACCAAAAATCCCAAAAACACCCCTTGCCTGGAGTCAAACCTCCTCTCTAATCTCGTCTCAAATAATCGTCTTCGTCATCATCGTCACTAATCTCCTCTCTCCTCCCAAAAAACTTAACCATCAGGGGCTTCAGAACGATGTCGTCGAACCACCCAATGCACCCACATTGATCTTTCAATCTCTGAAACAACCCTCTATTGCCAACATCAGGAGTTGACATGGGCTGTAAGTAAGCCCTAGCTGCATGCTTCACCAATGGATTCCTGATGGATATCTCTTTCCAGCTACTTGACCTTTGTGTTGGTGACAGGAGGCATGGTGGTGGTGGTGATGAAGGTAACAAGTCCCTCAAACTTGTGTAGGTTAAAGGCTGTATCTGTATCATCTCTATATCAGGATCTTTTGAGTCGTAGCCGTTTGGCAAGAGAAAACTAGCACTGGAACTCAATTCAAGATTTTTTTCCCTGCTATTTATTGATGGTGTGTTTGTTTTTTCCATATTGGAGAGAGAGGATTATCCTAGGAAGGTTTAATTAATTTTTTTTTTTTTTGATGGGGTAATGAATCTTGAAGGTATTCTTTTAAAATACAAATACTAATCAAGCAAGGAAGGTGCTTATGTATGCAAGGGTTTTTAATATTTGTGATGGGTTTTGAGGGTTTTGGTTTTTTTACTTCCCTGTTTGTGTTGGAGAGGGAGACGGACACTGGCCATGGTGGAAAAGAGAATTCAGTTAATGGTCTTTATAGGAGCGCTTGAGTTTAAGAAAGATATCAGGAGTGGCTAATTAGAAAATTATTATTCTAGTTCAACTCGATTTCATATTTTATTTAATTTAAGTAGAAATATGGTTTTTAATAATCAATATTACCTGGAGATTAGCTTAGATGGATTCTACCATTATTAATATTTACTGATTATGCGTGAATAATAATGTACTGCTGTAATTTACTTAAGCAAACTCGTGTGATTAACTTCTTTAACTTGTGCAATTACTCACACCCTTTTCAATTGCCATAGAATAATTCACTAATTAGCTAGGTGGATTTCTTTTTTAGATTTCTTTTCTAATTAAAATTGTGAGTGGATCTTACATAGATATGTGTGTACGTGTGTGCCCACGCACATAAGGTATATCAAATTAGTTTACAAATAACAAACTAAGTTTTTACTTCGTGAATGTTGTTGGGTAATTTTTTAAATTATTTTTTATTTAAAAAGATATTAAATTAATATTTTTTATTTTTTAAATTAGTGTATCAAAATAATTTAAAAACATTAAAAAAATATTAATTTGAAGTAAAAAATTAAAAAAATTAAATTTTTTTAAAAATATTTTTAAAATACAAAAATAAACATAATAGCTAAAAAAAAATTTATAACTGAAAACCACTAAATGTTAAACTTATTTTTGAAAAGTGCAGCAACTTGGAGTAAAATTAGCAAAATTCATGGTTAATTCACTATTGTGATAGCACAATAACGAGAAAGGAAGGCTCTCATTCGAGAAAGACGATGAAGCTATGGCATCAAAGCAAGCTAGCAAGGAGATGAAATGTTGAGGTGAATGGATTGGAATCCAAATAAGCAGAGAAAAGATAGGAATTCTTGTCGTCATCCAATGCATGTAATTTTATCATGAAAATATACAACATAAACTCGTCCAAAAAGTTAGCCCATAAACTCAACGAAATTGTTTTTACAGGGTAAATTGGAGTCTTTGAGTAGCATCTACAGCATCTAAGTATAATTGTGTTTGTTTTTTAAAGTATTTTTTATTTAAAAAAATATATTAATAATATTTTTTTATTTTAAAAAAATATTTTTAAGATAATATAAATCATATCTTCAATCTTTCCTAACAGTTTAAGCTTTTAAATTGAAATAATTCATTAACATGATATCAGAAACTTGATAACTAAACGATCTCAAGTTTAAATCTTATCATTTATATTTATTTAATAAAAATTAAATATAAAGTAATGTGGTCCTTAAGGGGATATGTTAGAAAATAATATAAATTATACCTTAAATTTCATCTAATAGCTTAAACTTTTAGGTTAAGATGATTCCTTAACCATCAACACATCAAAATAATTTTAAAAATTTAAAAATATATTAATTTTAAAAAATTAAAATATTTTAAGAAAACTTTTACAACAGTGTCAATCATGTTCCTTAGTTGGAAAAAAAACTAAATAATATCTGGCCCAAGATGTTATTGGGCTTTTAATGAAGAAATTGGAGGCCATGGTCTGAGAAATAAGGCCAAGAGCCCATGACCGAGAACCAAAAGGCCTGCGTGTAAATAATATTTGTGTCCCCACCATTCTCCATATAAAATTCATTGTTCCCTTTTCATCTTCATTTTCCTCTCGATGAGTGCTTTCTCTTCCCTCGGCTATGGATGGTTTGGTTTTATATTTAAAAAAATAAAAAATCATCGAGAGAAATGCAAGCGATTGATATTCATATATCGGAATAAATAAATCTTAGCTCCGAGAATTAATGAGCTCGTAGAAAAAAAATAAAAAAAAAATAAAAATGTCACTCGCAGGCCGAGAGCGCTTTGTCCTGCTTAATTTTCTGGCGGCGCCTCCTTTTTCTTTTCTTTTCTTTTTTTTGTCTTAGATCTCCTCTTTTTTCTCGTTGGATGGATCGGATATTTCGTGACCGTACTCTTTTCACTTTTTCTTTATTAACATCATTCCACCGTTTATCTTCCATCCAACTTGACACCTAATCCACTAATTCTTTTCAAGTATATTCTAGATAATTCTCCGCCCTATTCCATGACAGGACCAGAAAAACTTACATGTGAAGAAATAATGTCCGGATAAAAAAATACAACTTAATTTATTAGCCTAGGTTAATTCTTTGAATATATAACTCGGTTGAAAAACTCTATTAAATTTAATAATTTTATTTTTTAATAATTTTTATTTAGTTATATAATAAAATATAAATACTTATAAAATTAAGTAATAATTCAATATTAGGATGTTTTTATAGAACTATGATAACCTCAAAAAATATAAATTATTTTTATTTAATAATATAATAAAAAATAGATGGTTGTAAAATTAAACATTAATTCAATATGGATATGTTTTTTTAAGATTATGATAAATCTATATAAAAAAATAAATCATGAAGTCTCATTTATAATAATTATGTTTTTTATCATTATTTTTTATTTAATAATATGATAAAAAATATATACAATCATAAAATTGAGTATCAATTTAATGCTAAGATCTTTTTCAAGATCATGATGATTTTATATAAAAAAAACTAGAATAAATAATAAAATATATTTTTTAATAAATTTAATATTAAAATATAAAAAACAAAAAAAAAACTAGAAAACAATAATACATGAGGAGAAGAAAAATGAGAGGAGTATGACAATGCTTGTCCTCATCAATTGATTCTTGTTAATGAAAAGGATGGCACTAATTTAAAAATTTAAAGATAATTTTTAAAAATATATAAAAATCTTAAATTGAAATAAATAATTTATAATTTTTAAGTTAAAAATCATTATATTTCTAATAAATTGTTAAATCAATCATTCAAGATTTATAATCATTTTATAGCACAATTAAAACTAATAATATAAACTAATTATGATATATATATATATATATTAATCAAACATTAGTCTTAAATTTATTATTTTACAACTATAGAAAAACCTTTTGAAATCAAAGGAAATTTGAGAGTGTGATGGTAATTACTTCTTAAAATACTTTTCATTTCAAAATATATATACAAGTAATATTTTTTTATTTTAAAAAATTTATTTTTAATATTATCACATTAAAATAATTAAAAAACATTAAAAATGTATTAATTTAAAAAAAACTAAATTTGAATTCTTTAGAAAAACTTTTAAAATATAGGGTTAAATACTGTCTAAATAAGTGACAGACAGGCACATGTCAATCAACGGAAGAAAACAGAAAGGATGAGCATATTAAGAAAAATTCTTAACCCGAATGATCACGAAAAAATTATTGAAGGGTTGCATTTAAAAATGTCAAGGGAGGTACCAACTATATATATATAATTTTAATCTCTATTTCGCCTAACCTGAGTGTCGTTTTGATGTTCATCCTCGTCAGGAAGCAGTAAACTCAAGATCAATAAGGAAACAAAATCTTGCGTCGGTAGTAGCATCCACCACCTGTGTGTGTCTGAATCTGGGAAAGGACGCGTGGTGGGCCAACTCATCAGTGACATAAATAGCATAATGACACATATCTAAAGCCTGTTAAATATTGAGCACCTTAGCGTCTCCTATCTTCTACGTTTCAACGTGATTCACATGTTCTCAAAAGAAATTATTTTTATCTAGCCATCTGTTTGGGTTTTTTCCTGATTAATGTGAAAAAACGGAGGTAGGTTCTCAATCTCTAAGCTCCTTAATCCAAAATAGAGGTAAAGTTTTCACCTTTATTTTCAATTTGTTACTTTTGATTCTTTCGCATCTGGGTATTGATTTTATCATGGTAGTGTTCCTTTTAATCCAGTGGTCTTGTTTTTTAGTGTTTGGGTTTAATGGCTGTAGACTATAATGACCCTTTTTGTTTGTAATCTTTGTGTTTCGTGTGGAATTGTTTGAGATATTGATAAATCTAGTTTGAAACAAGAGTCTCAAGTTCTACTCAAGTGATTGAAACTGCTTGCAAGAAAACTGAGCTTGCCATTGTAAAAGACAGTCTCGGGGAGGAATTTTGCATCGCCATCTTGTTCATTCAGGAGTACTTTTGTGAGCATGGAAAGTTTTTTTTATCCTCTCTGTTGGAGATTCGAGAAGGGAAATGATAGAGGGGACTAGGCAGTTTGAGTCGGATTCAAGTTATTTGTGCTGATTTCTCGTATCTCTTCAGTTATGCAGAGCTTAGTAAAAGAATAGCAGTTTAAAAAGAACGTTTTGATCTATAAATGTGATACCATTTCTTGATTTAGGTCGGAAAAAGTATTCTTTTTGGAATAATAGGTCATATGCTTCCATATTTTATGGTTTATCTCTATTTCTCGTTGCTTTGTGACCTGTAATGTTGTTTTTATTCTGTAAAACATCTTTGCAATTTGATTTTTTTGCAGAATCATAGAGATTCGTTGACTAACCAAAATTCCGTTGCTATGGGGGAGCCGAACAATGCTGGGTACGTAGCTTTAGGGGAAGCATCCTTCCCAACATTAGATAAGTTCCAGAAGGTTTCAGTCATACCTCTTGTTTTTCTTATATTTTATGAAGTTTCTGGGGGACCATTTGGAGTTGAAGACAGTGTCCAGGCAGCTGGACCTCTTTTAGCTCTTCTTGGTTTTTTGCTTTTTCCACTTATATGGAGCATTCCAGAAGCCTTGATAACTGCAGAAATGGGTACCATGTTCCCAGAGAATGGTGGATATGTAGTTTGGGTTTCATCAGCGCTGGGTCCTTATTGGGGGTTTCAGCAAGGTTGGATGAAATGGCTAAGTGGTGTTATTGATAATGCACTATACCCGGTTTTGTTTCTGGATTATCTGAAATCGGCAATCCCGGCATTGGAGGGTGGTATCCCTAGGATAGTAGCAGTGCTGGCTCTGACTGCGGCTCTAACTTACATGAACTACAGGGGTTTAAGCATAGTGGGGTGGGTTGCTATACTGTTAGGGGTGTTTTCTCTGCTTCCTTTTGTGCTCATGGGACTAGTTGCAATCCCCAAACTGGAGCCATCAAGGTGGTTTGTGGTGGATTTCAGCAATGTGGACTGGGGTTTGTACTTAAACACACTGTTCTGGAACCTCAACTACTGGGACTCAATCAGTACTCTTGCAGGAGAGGTCGAAAACCCGAATAAAACTCTTCCAAAAGCTCTTTTTTATGCTCTTATATTGGTTGTTTCTGCATACTTTTTTCCTCTTTTAATTGGTACTGGAGCAGTACCACTTGATCAGGAAATGTGGTCTGATGGGTATTTTTCAGAAGTTGCTAAAATTTTAGGTGGTGTCTGGTTGAGATCTTGGATCCAAGGGGCTTCTGCCTTTTCAAACATGGGCATGTTTGTGGCAGAGATGAGCAGTGACTCTTTCCAGCTTCTAGGGATGGCTGAGCGTGGGATGCTTCCCGAGATCTTTAGCAAGAGGTCTCGTTATGGAACCCCTCTTACTGGGATTTTATTCTCTGCATCTGGAGTGATTTTGCTATCATGGTTGAGCTTCCAAGAGATTGTTGCTGCAGAAAACTTCTTGTACTGTTTTGGAATGATTATGGAATTTATAGCATTTGTGAAATTAAGGATGGACTATCCAGCGGCACCAAGGCCTTATAAGATACCTGTTGGAACAGTTGGAGCAATTTTGATCTGCATTCCTCCTACCTTGTTAATTTTAGTGGTATTGACACTTGCTTCTCTCAAAGTCATGGCTATCAGCAGCGTTGCTTTGATTATAGGGCTTATCATGAAGCCTTGTCTTGATTATGCAGAGAAGAAAAGGTGGTTCAGGTTTTCTAAAAATTCTGACCTTTCATCCATCCATTCTGTGTAATGAACCATGAATGCTTGTTACAATTTTGATTTTCCCCTTCCTCTTTTTTTCCCTGTTCATCTGAAATGTGAATGCAATGCTAGCATTCTTTATCCGCTCAAATTCTAGTGTTTGACCTTACTTATCAAAGACTTGAATGATTATTGTTATGGATATAGGACCAAGTGAACTAGAGGTGCAAATGGCATGTTGTGGTTGTAGTTTCTTGAACACGAGAATCAGTACAAGAATTCCATGACATGCAAAAATTGCATTAGTCAAATAAGCACATAAAAATTTGAAGTGCTGCAGACCAAGAGATGCGATGCTAATTGTGTGAGCCCAAGTGTCATCACATGCAGCATTTATCATTACTTCATCAGATTGTTTTATAGATTTATTTTCACTTCATTAAATGTTTGATTGCACAACTCATGTCAAAGGCAAATTGATGGTTCTCTGAATTGTTTGTTTCTTATACTATACATTTAGGGATTATGGTACTTGGTATGATCTGTTATTTTATTGTCATTTTGGGATTAATTTCTTATTTGGCACGTGTCTTTCCCTGATCCAAAATTAACTTACTTACAAACCTTTGTCATGGGATAAAATTACTTAATATTGTTTCTTCAGTTAATCTCTTATAAAAGCTTCAAATTTTAGTTTCTTGCTTCTGTAATTCCTTGTACTTTGGTGTTTTTTTCTTTCTTTTTTCTTTTTCTGTATTTGCATATGGCAAGGGTAAGAAAAGCACAATGCATAAGTTAGAGCATGACCATCATTCTGGTTGGCTTCGGAAATTGAATATTCCAAGATTTAGTGGAGGCCCTGGTTGTGTAGTTCATAATTTCACCCTATAAAGTGTTTGAAATTTTTAATTTTTTTGCACTTTTATCATATTGGAACCTTGGAAGGTGCTGGCTAAGATAGCAAATGAGCTTGTTCCTTGCATTATCATCCATTGGAGAAAGATTTACTTTTGGTAGGTGAAAGCAAAAAATCATGAAAAAAATCACCAAGGACCTGGCCCCAGAGCGCAAAATGCAGAGACGGACGGGTTGGTCAGGCACATGTTTGATGCATTGGATTACATTTACTGAAAGCATTCTCGTCTTGCTTGTACATCCATGTGAACTGCAACAAGCTGTCTGTTTCTCCAGCTTACAGTAACCAAGGAAACCCACCACATGGCAAATCATCCAAATGAGTAGCTAGAGCAACGAAAGACTCCTTGATGCAGATAATGCCACTTTACCCGTCACATTTGTCCCTTGTGGGTGGGGAAATTTTCTAAACTCTTGTCATCGGATATTACAACTTTTCTTGTCTATAAAACATCGCTGTATTTTTTGGCATTTCTTGTTTGACCTAACAGGCAATAAAGATTGGATTGGAAGAGATACGAGAGCCTTCTCTCTTTCTTTCAGCATTTTCAGGGAAAAAAAAGTTAATCGAGCTCTTTTATGTCCTAATCTGTGGTAGAAATAATAAGTAAAGAAGAGCATAAGACGGGAGAAATGGGTATTCTCAGAAACTCCCAAAAGCCTCCCGGAAAAAATTCTACCTCCCTTCAGCTCCGCTTTGATGTGGAGCCCGACAATAGCAATGGGTCTGAGATTTTCAGTCCCAAAAGTGGCAAGCAGTCTGCCTTCGAATCTGAATACGGAGAAATCTTGTCTATCATATCTGACTGTCGCTCTATTTTTACTTTCACTGATCCTTTGGAGTCACCCTCGAAGCGGGATCTTAAGCGATTAAAGCTTTTCCAGCTCCTTTCTTTCGTGAAAAAACCCATAAAGCCACTACCTGAAGAAATTACACGCCCAGTTGTGTCCATGCTATCGGCCAACCTTTTCAGGCCTCTCCCTCCATCTGCCAAACAAGCCGTCATCTGCGAATTACCTGAGTATGAAGACCTTGTTTCCACTCTCTCGCCTGCTTGGCCACACCTGCAAGTTGCTTATGATATTCTGCTTCGACTAGTCCTCAATACTGATCCCAAAATTCTCCGTTGTTATGTTGATGAACCTTTTCTCGTCAACCTTCTGTCCCTCTTTCAGTCTGAAAACCCGAGAGAACGCGAAAGTCTGAAGAACGTTTACCACCGGATATATTCCAGGTTCACTTTTTACAGGGCATTCATGAGGAAATCGATGAACCATGTCTTCTTGCATTATGTTTTCGAGACAGAGAAGCATTCTGGGATCGGTGAGCTGCTTGAAATATGGGGAAGCATCATCAATGGTTTTGCTGTCCCACTAAAAGAGGAGCACAAGCTGTTCTTGATGAGAGTGCTTATCCCTTTGCACAAGGGCAAGGGGATGCAACTCTACCACAGGCAACTGGCGTATTGTATTAATCAATTTGTGCAGAAGGAACCAATGCTTGGTGGGGTGGTTGTCAGAGGGATCTTAAAGTATTGGCCTGCTACAAATTGTCAGAAAGAGGTTGTACTCATTGGTGAATTGGAGGAATTGGTAGAGAATATCGATCCCGGTCACTATAGAAAGTTAGCTTTGCCTATATGTGCCCAAATTTCAAGATGCATGAATAGTTTAAACTCACAGGTAAGCTAATGATCCAGCATCATATGGATGCTTCGATAGTTTCTAGGCCAGCTTGGATTTGGGATTTCAATCTGTCCTTTCATACGTTTTCTCATCATTCATAATGGAGAATGATTCAGCACTCTGAAAATTCTTTTTGTGTTTTGGATTCATGAAACAGTAAATAATTCTCTGATGGTTCCTGAAGGCTCCTTTTCCTCCTAACAACGATCCTGCTACTGCCACAAGATAAATTATTATGCTCATGAAAACCCCCATTCTGTTTCATGATGTTTAAGATAAGTTGTTAGTTTTTGCTTTCTGGGATTGTGCCCAACTGGATCGAGTTAGAAAGTAAACACAATCCGGGGTCTTGAGTTTTACGAGCATCTGCTTTAATACTATCTTAAGAAAAGCTTTCCTTCGTAGGCCTTCTTTCATTTTATGTCCCTCCCTTTTCCTTTATGAATGTCGTTAATAACTTTCATCCTATTTCCTAATGATCTCAATGCCCTAAATAACTTGAAACTCAGGTCGCGGAGCGTGCACTATACGTGTGGAACAACGAGCAATTTGTGAAGATGGCATCATCAATGATGGAAGAGGTGTTTCCTGTGGTTGTAGAGAGCGTGGAAAAGAACCTGAAATGGCACTGGAGCGGGAGTGTTAAACAACTGACAGAAAATGTGAAGACAATGATAGAAGAAACGGATCCAAATTTATATGACAGTTGCCTGGAAGAAATGGCCCACAAAGAGTACTTAGCTGGCCTGGAAGATATCAAAAGGAAAGAAAAATGGGAGAGATTAGAATTGGCAGCAGCCAAAAATCATCAGTTCTTTCCAGCCACAACAGTGTCTACGTCTCTCACGTTATTGAGCAAATAAGCTGACTCCTTGTATTCAGAAATGTTCTATACTTCACAGAAAGTTACTAAACAACAAGTACCTGCTGATTTTCCATTACGAGTCTAGCAGGCCATATGTGCTAGGCTGCTAGCTAGCTAAACTACGACCCTTTAAGATGGTTCGTTCTTTCGGTCACCAGCCATAAAGGAACACCAAATCTTCCATGATTCGACATTGACTTGGTGGTTAAGAAGATAAGTGAAAGCGAGAGATAATCATGTGATGTTGTGAATATATATATAAAGGTGATCAGTGTAATTATAATCAATTAGAGCCACGTTAGGATCGAATGTTATGCTTGGATGTGGCTTTGATTTAATAAAACTTTCTTTCAAACCTAACATTAGGCTTAAGCATGGCTTCCACAATGCTGTATCATGGAAGCCATGCTTAGAACTTGAGCAAACCATAGTTTTAACTTAATGGCCAATCACACTGCAATACCTTAGAACTTGGAAATTAGGGTTTAGGTTCTTCTTTTTTTTCTTTTTTTTTTACATCACGATTTGTTTTAAAAAATCATCCTTTGCGCAACTAAAAATCCTAAAATTATCATTTCAATATATTTAATAATTTTAGGTAAAACTTTTAGATATTTACCAATTTAAATTAGAGTGTTTAAATGAATTAACCAAGTCACTGATTAATCATATCCAAATGAAATTTAATTAGATTGGTTCTAAAAAAATTTTAAAAACTAAAATAATATTATTTTAAATAAAATAATTTATTTAGATTAATCAGGTCATCCAGGAGTTAATCTAATAACTAACTATAACCATGAATGTTCAATTCTTCAAACCCATTATCTTATAAATAAAAAACTATATAAAGGTATAGTTGTCATTTCAATTAAAAAAAACCTCAAAGTTATAAGATTTTTATTGTTTTACACGCTAAAATTATTATTTTACTCTTAATAATATAAAACTTATAGCTTGGTTTGAGGGGTTAAATATTTTTTTTACGGAATTATATTGTCACTTCAAAACTCACATTGGTGCCTAGAGCTTTTCACTTTTTGGTTGCATAATAAAATTATTAAATTACTTTTAAAAGATAAATTAATTAAACTGAAAGATGAGAGGATTTTTAGGTATTTCAACAAATTTTGATTAGTAAGATCCAAATTATCCTGTGATTTAATTTTTCTTAAAGTTAAGGTCAAGACCGTTTCCATCCTTTCATACAATTTTTTTTTTTATATAATTGGCATGTTAACTTAGGGGCATTTAAATCTTTTAGTTAAACATAAAATTATTTTAAATAAAAAATTGATGGTTTGTGCAACACATGCACCAAAAAATAGAAATCACCTGCATCTTTTAAGCAGTATATATAGTGCTTCTTAATGGCCAAACACCACATTCTGGTGTGGCATTCGATATGTCTCATCGCTCCCTTTAAGGTTGTAAAGCGCGTGTAGTTACTCATATACACGGTAGAACTTTAATGATATTTTGTTTTCCCTTTTTTTCTCTTTTTTAGCCATTAAAAACATGTTGCCTATGCCAAAAATTAGAAGAGTGTTTTAATTGTTAATTTTATCATATTTAGTACTTATTCTTTTAATTGCATCAAATTTAATTTATTTATTTTTCAATTTCATCCATTGAGATTTAATTTTCATATCAAAATTTGTTCTTTTATTTTAAGATATTTTAAGTTTGACTCTGAATGTTATGATTTCTAATTTGATTCTTAGCTCTTTTATCATATTTTAATTTATTTTCAATTTTGTCTCTATATCCATGATCTTATTTTTAATTTTTTTTCAAATTTAGTTCTTATTCTCTTTATTTTTATTTTTGTTTTTGATTCTTTTGTGAATTTGATCCCTTTTTTTTCCTTTAATTCAAAATTTGATAAGGGTGAAAAAAAACAAAAAAATCAATTAAACTGAAAAAATAAAAAAAATAACCGATTAAACTGATTAAAAAAATTAAAAAACAAGTGGGTTCAGTTCAATTTTGGTTTTAAAAGATTAAAACGGAATAAACCGAACCGAACCAATTCAAATAAAAAAATCAGTGGTATTATAAATACCTACCTTTCTAGCTTTCCCCATCTACTTTCTAGCCTAGCCGCCACCTATTTTTCTCAATCTTCATCTCTCATCTCTTAACCTTTCTTTAAGATTTTAAGTACATCCCCCCCTCCCAAGCGCCCTCACATCCACATCTTTCATTTTTAATCTTCTTTTAAGGCTTTAAGTATAACCCGTCCCTCCCCTTAAAGTAAATCTAGTGAACGAATCATTCTTATCTCTCATCTCTCAATCTTTTTATCCTTTTCTTTAAGCATAGCCGACTAAACCCATGGATTAAACAACCAAACTACAACTTTGGAGTCCCCCTCTCTTCATTTTTCATCTCTTAATCTTTTTGTCCTTTTTTACTTTTCTTCTGATTTTTGTATATCTATTATATATTCATTTCCCATATTTATTACAAGGCTGCTGATTTGCTGATTTTTATAAATCTATGATAGTATACTCGCGTTACGATTATTGTAATGGTTGTTGTGAGAATTATTTTTTTCAATTTTTCATCTAACACTTGTCCTTTCTGGCTTTTTTATTTTCAATTTTAGAAAACCTACTTGATATGTTTGGCAAAAATAAAATTGGTTTTTTCTGATTTTCTTTTCAATTAACCAAACCGAACCGAACCAAAACTGGACGGTTTAAACTGATTTTGGTTCGGTATTGATTTTGATTTACAAATGAATAAATAAATTGGTTTGGTTATTTTTTTTAATAAAAACCGGACCGAACAAAAAATGCTCACCCCTAGAATTTGATGATTTTTCAAGTTTGGCCCTTGAAGTTTTGATTTCTAATTTTGATTCTTAGCTCTTTTATCAAATTTTAATCTATTTTCAATTTCATCCTTAAATCCATATTCATGTTTTTTTTTTAATTTGATCCTTATTCCTTGATTTTTTATTTTTTATTTTTTCTTTCAATTTTTTCCTTCAATTCAAAATTTTAGGTTGTTCATTCTTTTTTTTTTTCTTCAATAAGGTCCCTATTCTCTTAATTGTTATTTTTTTATCCCTTGATTCTTTTTATTTCATCATTTAAAATTTGATTTATTGGATTTGGTTTTCATGGTTTTTAAACCCGACTCAAAGTCAATCGAAGACAAATACCATTTAAATAGTCAAGGTGGTTGAACCGAGTTAATCTAAGTCAAAAAAACCTTTTTATTTTATAAAAAATAAAAATGATATCAATTTGAAAAAAATAAAGGAAAATAGTCAACGGGTTTTGACCCATTTTTAACTGGATTTGTCCTAGGTTAGCCGGGACATGGGTCAACTCAGGTTTTTTACTATTTTACATTGGATCAATTTTCCTCTAATTTATTTTAAAACTTGGCCCGACCTAAGCCTTGGGTCATGGGTCAACCTATCAAGTCGAGCTGAAATTAAAAAAAAAAAAAGCTTTTCAAATAGGATGCTTACAGTTTAGTCATTAGTTAGAATCATGAGTATGAAAAGTTAATACAAGTTAACATTATTTTTTTTATCCAATTATATCATTTGAAGCTGTTCATTTTGAAAAATAAATTATATTATTTTCTTTGGTTTCCTTTCAATCAGATTATCTACATATCATGATCTAGGTAAGGGGTTTGGCTGTATAGCTAAAGGGTTTTTATGTCATTTTTTTATTCTTTTTATTTTATCCTTTAAAGTTTGATTTTAAAAAAATTAAATTTTATTTATTTATTTTTTATGAAATTATCTCATTTGCAGGATTCTACTTGTGAGTTTTGGTGACTTCATCTAGGTTTGCTAGTATTTTTTTATTGATATTTTTATTTTATTTTTCTACATTTTAATTTTTAGAGATTAACAGTTATTATTTTTCTCAATTCATTTTCCATGATATTAATTGGTGAATTTGTTTCTCTTCTTTAAAATATATTAACAATGATTGAACATTGTTTTTTTACGCAAAAAAAAAAATCATTTCAGCCGAAGAGGAAGTATAAGCCATAATCCATCATAAAATAAATAAATATTAAATAAAAACTTAACGGAATGCCCCAAGTGAAACCAATTTATGATGTTTTTGGTAAATTAGGTCTTCATCCAGCGTTTAGTCCAAAAAGGTGATAATTGCCAAGTAAATCTATAATTCAGTGAAAGATTGTGTTCACTGTAGCATGTAAAAGTATAAATAAAATTACCGTGGATGGTTACAATTACAGTGAAATTATTATTTTTCTTTTGAGTGGAAAAAAAATGGTGTTCTCAGTTTTTTTATCCAATTATATCATTTGAAGCTGTTCATTTTGAAAAATAAATTATATTATTTTCTTTGGTTTCCTTTCAATCAGATTATCTACATATCATGATCTAGGTAAGGGGTTTGGCTGTATAGCTAAAGGGTTTTTATGTCATTTTTTTATTCTTTTTATTTTATCCTTTAAAGTTTGATTTTAAAAAAATTAAATTTTATTTATTTATTTTTTATGAAATTATCTCATTTGCAGGATTCTACTTGTGAGTTTTGGTGACTTCATCTAGGTTTGCTAGTATTTTTTTATTGATATTTTTATTTTATTTTTCTACATTTTAATTTTTAGAGATTAACAGTTATTATTTTTCTCAATTCATTTTCCATGATATTAATTGGTGAATTTGTTTCTCTTCTTTAAAATATATTAACAATGATTGAACATTGTTTTTTTACGCAAAAAAAAAAATCATTTCAGCCGAAGAGGAAGTATAAGCCATAATCCATCATAAAATAAATAAATATTAAATAAAAACTTAACGGAATGCCCCAAGTGAAACCAATTTATGATGTTTTTGGTAAATTAGGTCTTCATCCAGCGTTTAGTCCAAAAAGGTGATAATTGCCAAGTAAATCTATAATTCAGTGAAAGATTGTGTTCACTGTAGCATGTAAAAGTATAAATAAAATTACCGTGGATGGTTACAATTACAGTGAAATTATTATTTTTCTTTTGAGTGGAAAAAAAATGGTGTTCTCAGTTGTGAGGGTGCTATGGTTTTTTTTTTTTAAAAAAAA